ATACGCCAAAATGACAATGATGGAGAAAAGGAGCGAAACACAAGCAATAGACAAAACAACGATTTGCGGCCAGAGTTTTTGGCCGTTCGCCCATGGCGGCAGGTTATTTCGGGGTGGGAGCGATTTGGTGGCGTGGAAGATTGTTAGGACTGTCGAGAGCATGGCCAGGACGATTAGGGAACAAGAAAAGTTGACGCCTCGCAGGACCATTTTGGCCATGCGTACGCGGGTTTTGACTTTCTACATTTAAAAAACACATGTTAGGGCTGATGGTTGGGAAGAGCGGTGGGTGCAGTCTTACCAGATCTTTGGCCTGTTGGATCTCCGTCTTCATCTCCTCCTTCTCAAGAAGTTGTTCTTCTCGAAATGTCGGAGAGAGGGGGTTCAACATTCTGGATGCGGTGCCTGGCGTCTTCATGGCCGATTTGAGAGGCTGTCCGGCGGCACCATTAGGATCACTTCGAATATACACCGTCTGCTCAACGGGCTGATTGTCTGCGATGTAGCCGAATCCCACATCTGACGGTTTGGGTCCTGGAGTGTTGGCGTTCTCCATCGGATCGGCAAAGGGCGATTGACTCTCGCCAGGACCTGAGGCGGGCGAAAAGACGGAAGTCGCTTCGGCAAAGCGAGCCCGCCGCACGCGCGGGTTGCCGCCCCCGGTGGAAGAGCGTGTGGAGGCCGTCGAATTTGTGCGAATGGAGCGAGTGGTCGCTTTGATATCTGATTTCTCGTCGAGGTCTGGGTCGTTGGCGAAGCGTGTAGTGCGGTGGGAGCGGGTTTGGGAGTCGACGGTGAGGTCGATGGGAGACACTGGTTCAAAGTTGGATGGAGACATGGTGGGGGAAGCGAGAAGATCAGTCAGTTCTTTATCGGAGAGGCGATCAACTCAGCCCAGTCTTGGGTAGCGTAGGACAGGGTTTCCCCAATGCGCAGGTGGCAGTTGATCGGTGCAAGCCTTGGTGCTCCTGTGCGGTGGCTCGTCCGTTAGTCGGGAAGTTGGACTAGCAATTGACCGATGCTGACGTGAGACGGGAGCAGATATACAGGCAGGCGGCGCCACTCTTTCGAGATCCGGGAGGGAGAGGTGCACGATAATAATAATAATGTTTTGTTATAATGTCGAGAACCAGCTCTGAATTGTGGGCAAAGAAAAAGAATGGATAGAAGGTGATGAGGTGGTAGAGGGAAGAGTGAGAGAAACACAAGGCCGATGGGCGAGCGGGTCGAGTATTAGGTTGGACGATGGACGACTTCGACTTGTGAGCTGACGATACGAGGCGCTTCGCGGGACCCAAACGTGACTTGTTCTGGGCAGTAATAGTATGCAGATGGGCGACGAAGACTGCCACCAAGTGCCCTGTAGGATGTGCTTGGGTGCAGGGTGGAACAAGCGTGGTCACAATTGGCGCTTTGAGGTCGGTCAACCGGTCTCTTGGATTTCCAGGTTTTCCAGCTTCTCTCCCCTGGGGAGTTTGCGGTCAGGCGGGCAATGGTGGGCGGGCGGTGCTTGGGGGCAATGGGCCAAGACTCAAAGAAAAGACACAAGTACTCCGTACTCAGCGAAGCCTGCGCGAGCTTGGAAAAGGGAATATAAGGGCGGAGAGCGGGCGGAGGATCGAGGCTGGAGGTGAGGATGAGGTGAAGGCGAAGGTGAAGAAAGGTGAGAAGGGAGAGAAAGACCTAGTGAGATACCGAGTACTTTGAGTAGTAAATGAAGCTTTACCTTTGGATGCCATGTTAAGATCAAATCCATTTCTTCCCGAGATGGGGATTGACTGGGCGCTTGAGAAAGATGGATGTGAGGAGGAGGAAGAGGAGGCTGCAGCGCGATGGGGTTTGGATGAGCGGGTCGAGCACAACGAGAGCAGCAAGAGGCGCAGGAAAGTGATGAGGAACGAGCAATATCGGCTTGATTGGCCTCGAGGCTTTGAGGAAGCGCCGAGACATGGCGAATGAGCAGCGACAGAGCGAGGCCATCACACTGCTGGCCACTGGGAGCAGGTGATGGCACTGATGATCATGCAGGGCAAGGATTAGGGCCGCCTGCGCGGTACAAGTACAAGCATGACTAGTGCACTAGGCTAGTAGCCATTACTTACAAGTACAAGGACTCCTACAGGTATAGCCAAGTCATGCCCAACGTCACTCACAGAGGGGCAGGTGAGGGCTCGAGGGGTCCTAGGGGTCTCAGGTATGTACCTGCCGAGGACTGTCCTGTAGTGGCATGGTAGCCAAGTTCTAGGCCTGGAGCCTGCCAAACCTGCGGCGGGGAACAGCGGGGCCTACCGGGCCTACCCAGGGCTCATCATTCGGCGCATCTCGCTATTTTTGGTCCTTCTATCGAGTACGAGGCAGCCTCGTACACACTGGCTCGCTGCCAGCTGCAGCCGCCGGGTCGCTCATCGCTTGCTCGTCATGTCTTCAACCCTATGATTTTCTATGTTTGGAAACTCTCTACCCTCCTAGCTATGTACCGAGTACTTGTGCTTCAGCACCAATTTCTGATTGGCGCTTAGCCCTCACCAGTCCGGAGAGAAACTCTGTAATGTATTCTCTTTGGTCCCTCTGACTGCGATATGTGTGGTGTGTTGGTCACAGACAATCACGTTACAACCTCTGCTCGTAGCTTTTTCGGCCGGTTTGTGCCCGATCCGCCTTCAATAATGCCATTTACTCCATCCCTTGTCATTTATTTTCATCTTCCCCATAGCTCGCATACTTTGAATAGCACCCTGACCAGATCCATCTCATGTCCACCCCTACGCGTCAACAGATACGACTCTCAACAATATGCCACTGGAGGTTCAGCCACTGCGTACTGCTCCAGACCTTTGCTCTTGACAACTTTCTTGACTGGCATGTTCCAGCTGGGAGTCTTGTCGTCAAGTGGGAGTTTGATGGTTAATGCCTTGATCTTGGTCGCTTTGCGCTTCCTCGCCATCTCCATGTTGAGCCTTTCCTCTCGTCTCTTCTGCTTTATTCCCTCTGCGCTCATCATCATGTTCTCCAGCTCCTTTGCCGTAGCTGCAACCTTGACCGGGTGGAATCGCTCGTGTTCTAGAGTGAAATCCACGCGGTCCAGGTCGGCCTCAGCGAGTTCCAGAAAAGGACGAGCCCATCTCTCAGTGACATCAAGTCGGCACGGCCAGTCGAAGAAAGTGACGTCAAGGGTCAGCTTCTGAAGCGCCGTTACCTGATGCTTGATCTGTCGCAACAGAGCGGCCCATCTCGCGTCGTGTCTCAATTTCCACTGGCGGTCAGCCAGCCACCTGGGTTCGGCGTACCCGACGTGGGTAATCTCAAGGGCTCGGATGCTCGTGCGGGCTTGTTCAGGAATGGTTTTGAGGAAATTTCGCACCACGACAATTCGGTCGAAGCAGAACGTGGTTCGGGCATAGATGAACGGGACGGCTTCCTGGTTCATCTGACGACAGCTCAGGAGAAGAGAAACGTCAGTTGCCTTGCCGGCGAACTGGCCCAGCAGGCGATGAGGGGGTAGCTTATGTTTCTTCAAGGGCTCTCGTTGTTTCATCAGCTGGAGTTCCTTCTGAGGATGGTTGGCTGAGATGATGACGCGAACTTCAGGTATGATCAGATCATAGATTCGATTTCTGATCTCGCCGGGCAGCTTGAAGAAGGCGAAAGGCTTTGGAGGTCGGGAAGGAGCAGGTTTGGGGATCTTGGCCATGGCCTCAGTGGTTGGACGACAAGTTTCTGCTTGGGCTCGAGGAGCAGGTGGGCCGGTGAGCTGAGCAACCGGTCGGAGGACATGCTGACGATTGCGGTGGGGAAGCAAACGATCACGCTTTGGAGGGGGCATGATGGCTCTTGGTTGTCCGCATGAGCAAGGCTTGTCTGCGGAGTGATGCAGGAAATACTCTGTGGGCCAGAGCCAGGATGAGATGAAGAGATGCCTGCTGCAAGAGACAAGCAGAAGAGAATCGTCAAAGCGGGAGCCAAGCAGGATAAATCAAAGGTAGGTTTGGAAAATGTCTGTGCGAAGAAACCAGTGATAACCAGGAAAAGCGAAGCACGTTGAATGATGTCGAGTGATATTGAGTTTGCAGTGAATCATGAAACCGGCAGGCACCCAGCGTCACATGATCCGGCAAGTGAATGGGTGAGACTGGTCTGTCCAATTCAGCAACAACAATATGCTCCTGAAATCGGACCTGGGCATTTGCGTGCATTTGGTGAGCCAGACGTGGGAATGGGAGCTGGGGTGGTAGCAGCAGGTGTGAGGGTTGACGGTGAGGTTGAGGTTGAAACCGCGGGATCTCCTGGCGGGCGCTATCTTAGATCAAAGCATCACATTTAGTAACCCCAGGGTTCCTCCGCGAATAGAGTTGGGCTTGGTGCTCTTTTCTTCGTGTTGCACAGATTGCTTGCGCCCCGGTTAGCTCTCCACAGGAGCGAAAGGCACTTGTCTGGAAGCGCTGGTGATATAGTGTGTGGTTGTGTGCTTTGCAGAGTGTTCATCAACAGGGGAGAAGGGAACTCTCGGGTGGTCTTCCCTAGCATGTTTGCAGCATAATCTCAGGTAGGCGGGCCGGGAATGTCTCCTGAAGACTTGAAGCCCTCCATACCAAGCGAGGAAGCACAGCAAAGTTGTCTAGCATTTTGGGTTCTCCAGAAGCCAGCCCTGAGCGAAACCAATGGGTATCTGCCCCCTGACAAGTAACAAACATTTCTTCTCGCTATTATTACACCTAAAATTAGCAGCGGTGGCCGGAATGGAAACTTCCCCGTAGCTTCCTGTCTTCTGCCAAGCCGTCTGCAACTGAGTGGCTCCCTTTGAAATCCTTGGTCCTCCACATATCACTACCAAATAGCGTATGATTGTGCTGTGTTGAATGCTCCCTGGCCCATGAAACGGCTATTCTGTAATATGTCATAGTGTACAATCCGTGCATTACCTTGCAATCCTAAACTTCTTGCAAAGGACATCAGCACATTACTCGTCCAGAGCACATCTCTTTTTCCCACACACCAAACAGTCACCAATCCTGTTTCTTCCCATGTCGGCGCTCCATGTCGAAATATCGGCTAACGCTGTCGTCCAGATCGGCCTGGTTGGTTTCTGGGAGAGTTTCCTCATCAGTTTCGGCACTCTTGGAACCCTCGACTTTCTCATACAATTCCGTGAGCTCATTGATCCGAGCAAGGCGACCCAGCTCCAGGTTATACTGGAGGTACGGAGGTGCCGCTTCAAGACCACTCCTTCGTACCAACTGACATGTCTGGGATGGATTGCGATGCCGTGGTAATCTTGAGGTCGTCCTTCCCGCATGAAATGCCTGGATTGTTCCTGCTCACGAAGGTCGAGACCTGTCGTATCCGGGATGAACAAAAGGGTGAGAATAAAGCCGATGAGGCCAAACCAGCCGACAACCTGTCGGGCACATCAGTCCACTCCTCTCAAAATTCAATCAGTCCATCACGTAGCCAAAACTTAGTCCTACCCCCGATGTAGTTGTAGATAACAGTTGTACATAATGCACCCAACTTCCCGACTGCCGCACTAATACCATGCGCTTGTAGCACGAATGGGCGCCGTCTACACCTCCCCCGCCTCCAAGAACGTAGTAAAGTTGGGACCGAATTGAATCCAGAAGCTGCTGAAAAAGTAGATCAATTCCAACGCCTTCCCTCCGGCTCCCTTGACATCCAACTCCGGGTAAAGCCTCGCTGCAATGATGAATAGAATGAAGGACATGATAAATCCCACAGCTTGCATTCTTTTGCGGCCATAGGATTTGTGATCCTTGAAGAGGGCCGCCAGGTAGTAGCCGGCGAGCTCGCAGCCAATGTTGATCAGGTTATAAAGCCACAACGTCCCAACCTGACTGGGACTGGAGGTGACAATCTGAAGGAAGACATTCTGGAAGATCTGATTGCCATGGAAAGGAAAGTCGTTGCAGAACCAACATAAGCTCGTGGCCAGAAGTCGATGCCAATAGTGATTCGTGGTAAGCTTTAGCGACGTCACGTCATACCCCGTCACTTTGCCCTTCTTTCTTGAGGCTTTCAGAGACTGACCGACACCTTTCAGCTTGTACACACGAAGGTACAAGAAGTAAAGGAGGCAGAGTGCTGCAATCCCGAACGAAATTCGAAAGGTTACCTGCGCCGCCGTTTTGCCGTAACCTGGGTTGAGGCTGTGGTTGAAGATGAGCATAACCAAGATAAGTACCAATTGGTTTCCGAATTGTCCCCAGCCTTGCATCAAAAATGCCAATGCCACGGATCGACCTCGATGTAATCGGTCATGCCTCGAGGTTGCTCGACCATGGATGCCTTCCATGGCCGTAGACGAGGTCATGGGATACTCTCCACCAACTCCAACAGAGAACCAGAAGAGGCTGATTCCATACATCACTGTCCAGCTGGACAATGTGATGCCCCACATTGATGTCAGAAGAATGGTGCCAGTCAACATGATAAGCGCATCTTGAATCAGACCCCAGCGGCGACCGATCCAATCGCCAATGATGCCAACCAAGATCTGCCCACAGATAATGCCCAAAATCTCCATATAAGTGATTGCCTGAACAATGGTTTCGTCGCGGACTGAGTGCTTCTTTCAGCACCCAGGACGTACCACTTCCAGGAGAGGTAGGATATTCCCCACAGAGAATAACACGTAGCCCTCAGTAAAGAATCCGACGCCGGTGACAGCATAATTGTGAAGATATTGGTTGATCGGATCCAGAGGGTCAGCCTCGAACATGTCCCAGACATCCCTCAGTTCTCGCCTAGACTCAGAGGTATGCTGGTCGTTCACCCACTTGGTACGTTCACCGGCAGGTAGGTCGGCCCAATAGGTTCTTCCCTTATAAGCATCTTCGGGGTCCAAGGCCTCCTTGAGCAGGGATTCATGCTCGCTGGACAGACCCTGAAAAGAGATATCACGCTCGGTGGGTGCTACCCAGTCCCGCCTTGGTTCTTCAAGTTCTTGGTTCTGCATGGTGAAAAATCGAGTGAATGTAGGCAGAACAACTTCGACTCAAGGGCGCTCTGAAGGAGTGCTTTGGGTTGTCAAAACGGAACCGCCACTCAGAATAGGGGTCGTCGACTATATCCGCCGAGCCCGCCATTGTCCAAGGCCAGAAACGGAGAGCATGACGTCGAAAGCCACTTTCATCTGACCTCGCAATACAACACATGTATCAAATTATTCGTTTGGTCCCCCATTTCTGACCAGGCTGAACTGAATTCTTTGTCCAACTGATAAACGAATCAGACAATCAATGCCAATACATGTGCTTCGAGAGCAGATACGGACTGGTAGACAGCAAAGCAGGGTTGTTCCCCTCGTCGCAGATCGATCTGGCGATCTCCGTTGATGTCCCACGTTTCATGTCATAGAAAATCGCGCCACAGGTAGGGCCACCTTTGGTCGATGCTCGCAAGGCCGTGAATCCCTCATGTCATATGTCTGACGGAGGAGGCATGTTTTTGCGGTGTGCTCACTCGCCGACTCAAGTGTTGCCAGAAGCAATTCGGTGGTCGGCCACCGGCGTGGAAGTTGGATCGGTGCTGAAATGCTTGATGAGAAGGCCTCTTGCTCTTGAGTCAGGACAAGTTTGAGCCATACTCGCCGTGCTCTCCATATTCAAATGCTTCGCCGTAGGCTTGGCATTACGTCGGGAATATAGACCTTGAAGCGCAGTATCAAAATTTCTTGCTTTGCATGAGTGGCATGGTGCAAGCAAAATCATCAACTTGAAGTTCTTTTTGTGATAAACTCCCACAGTCGTACAGTGAACCATCAGCTATCAATGCGGCCTGCCCTGTAGACGACTTACCTATCAACCCAGGCAGCATCCCTTCCAAACATCCGGACTTTCGGGCCGAGTGGTATTCAACTACAATGGCTTCCCAGAAGATAGGCATGTCACCTTTGCCACGTGGACCCTGCGCCGTTTACATTTTATTCTAACCCTATTAGCTATTCTTTCGGTATATGACAAAACCGGCTTGCTCGATCTCGCCAAAGGCTTGATCAAAAAGGATGTTCGGCTGCTGGCTTCTGGTGGAACAGCGAAAATGATCCGAGAAGCCGGTTTCGATGTCGAGTGCGGGATACCAAGTCTTGTCCAATTCGGAAAATCCGCTAATGCCCTTTAGAGATGTCTCTGCTATTACAAAAGCACCGGAAATGCTCTCCGGTCGAGTCAAGACCCTTCATCCAGCTGTCCACGCAGGGATCTTGGCTAGAGATCTAGCTTCTGACGAGAAAGATCTCGCTGACCAGAACATCAACAAAGTCGACTATGTCGTCTGCAACTTGTACCCGTTCAAGGACACTGTTGCTAAGATCAACGTGACCATCCCTGAAGCCGTGGAAGAAATCGATATTGGAGGAGTCACTCTTATCAGAGCAGCGGCCAAGAATCACGCTAGGGTAACCATTCTGAGCGATCCCGAAGATTATCACCACTTTCTTGAGGAATTGGACAAAGGCGACATCCCTGAAGAGAGTCGCCAAAAATATGCTCTGAAGGCTTTCGAACACACTGCTGATTACGATGCCGCCATCTCTGACTTCTTCCGCAAACAGTACGCCGGTAATGGTGTGCAACAGATCTCCCTTCGTTACGGCGCCAATCCTCACCAAAAGCCCGCTGCTGCATTTGTGCGCAATGGTAAGCTGCCTTTCAAAGTTTTAGGTGGCTCGCCGGGGTACATCAACCTTCTCGATTGTTTAAATGCCTGGCCCCTAGTGAAAGAACTCAAGCAAGCATTAGGACTTCCGGCTGCTGCAAGTTTCAAGCATGTGTCTCCTGCAGGCGCCGCGATTGCCGTACCGCTGAACGAAAAGGAGCGACGAGTTTACATGGTCGACGATATCGACGGGATCGAGACGTCGGGTCTAGCGCAAGCATACGCTCGAGCGCGTGGTGCGGATCGAATGTCCAGTTTCGGCGATGTAATTGCTCTTTCCGACAAGTGCGACGTCCCCACCGCGAAAATCATCTCTCGAGAGGTTTCTGATGGAATCATTGCGCCAGAGTATGAACCCGAGGCGCTGGAAATCTTGAAGAAGAAGAAGGCGGGTAAATATCTGGTACTCCAAATGGATGAGACCTATGAACCTCCGGCGCAAGAAACACGCACCGTGTATGGAGTCCAACTAACGCAAGGACGAAATGACGTCAAAATCTCGCCCAACGAGACATTCAACTCCATCATCCGTCCGAAAGATTCTCCGAAGCTGTCGGATTCGGCTCTGCGCGATCTCACTGTTGCGACCATTGCGGTGAAATATACCCAGTCAAACTCTGTCTGCTACGCTTTAAACGGTCAAGTCATTGGTCTTGGTGCCGGGCAGCAGAGTCGGATTCACTGCACGCGACTAGCAGGCGACAAGGCCGACAATTGGTGGATGCGATTTCATGAACGCACACTATCGATAGTATGGGCCAAGGGTATCAAGCGGGCGGAAAAATCCAATGCCATTGACATGCTGTGCTCAGGCCAGGTACCTCCTCAGAGCGAGTTTGAGACCAAAGATTATGAGCGCAATTTTGCAGAAGGGTGTGTACCCAAGCCATTCTCCCCTGAAGAGAGACGGCAATGGTTGGACAAGCTTGGCGAGGTTGCCGTTTCAAGCGATGCTTTCGTGAGTTCTGTTTCCCATCTCCATCGTCTTCACTGACAAGAGCCAGTTTCCATTCGTCGATAACGTATACCGAGCCGCCCGAAGTGGCGTGAAATACATTGCCGCCCCGACTGGCTCACAAAATGATGGAGCAGTGTTTGACACGGCAGATAATCTGGGGATAACGTTCATTGAGCAGAGCACGAGGCTGTTCCATCATTGAATACCTTTTAAACGCGCCACGAGAAACTGTCGGAAGGAGGCTCTTAACGAGTGGCTCAACGGGGGAGACGGATATTGGCCTCAACGCCATATGACGATGCCGTACGACCGACATGTCGAAGGAGATGCTTTCATGCGGAAGTTCTCGACTCATGATGGATACCCCCCCACAAAAACATACATAGACAGGCATGAATTTTCCATCTCACACCTAAATGTCTTGACTCTGGGGGGCCTCAGCCCTAACGTCTCAATGGATCCTCATCACCACGACGACCCCTTACCTTTTATGGTAGTTGGGCGAGGCCCAAGATTCAAATTATTCAGGCAACCGGTCGTTGCTCCGACGTCCGTAATCCTTCTGCCATCAGCATCCGGCATACCTACGCAAGGCAAAAAGCTTGCGAGCTCCATGGTGCAGCTATCGTTACTGACAGGTACTGATATGTGTATTGTCGATGGATCAGCCTCAATCGCGTGAACAATGTCTGAAAATACATTGTAATGACGAGTTATCTTCTACTCCGACTGCCGAGCTGATAGTGGCTGCGCCGCCAGTTCGTGTACCCCTATTCTTTTGGACCCCAAGCCCGCAGGAGACTTCAACTCGTTCTCCATCATACATCAGACCGCATCTCCCGGTGCTGCTCTTCGAAGATTTCTAAGAAACTCGACTTGGAGCACTGGGAGCAGGTCGTTTCTGGCACGTTGGACTCTTTGCCATTCCAAAATCAGCAAAGATGGTCTCACCACAAGACATCAGCTTCGGCCTATCCACGACCTGGCTCGGCCTTGTAGGCTATCTTATTCTGGCCAAAGTTGTTTACGACCTCGTCTTAGCAGTCTACAGAATCTGCTTTCACCCGCTTCGGCGTTTCCCTGGCTCCAAACTTGCCGTCGCCTCATACTGGTATGAAACTTACTACGATGTCTTCAAAGGCCATCAATATGTGTGGAGAATTAAGGAAATGCACGAAAAGTACGGCCCCATCATTCGCACCAATCCGGACGACGTCCACATTCACGACCCCGACTTCTTTGACGCGCTGTACGGCTTGAAACTGGACAAGTGGGCGTGGTGGACGCGGGGTTTTGCGGTGCCCACCGCCGGAGGTATGACCGTTGAGCATGAGATCCATCGCAAAAGACGGGGAGCGTTGAACCCCTTCTTCTCAAAGGCCAGCATTGTCGCCAACATGCCCGTCATTCAAGAAAAGTTGGCCGTCATGTGCCAACGGCTGGACAAGATCAAAGGCAGTCGTGAGGTGTTGGACCTCGAGGCCGTGTATTTGGCCTTGACCACCGATGTTCTGACGCAGTGTTCTTACGGTTGGACGTACGATTACATCCACCACCCAGAATGGGCCATGACCTGGAAGCTTGTCAACACCGGGGGACGCGCATCGGCAGCCATTGTGCGCTCCTTCCCACTGATCGGCGCCATCGTCCGCTCCATGCCCCTATCCGTGGCAATCAAACTGGTCCCACCCGTCGGATTCATGAAATCCTGGATGCAACGTGTCGGCATCCAGGTGAAGAAGATCAAATCCGATCCGGAGACAATGAAAGCCATCAAGACCGAAAAGAGGCGCAAGGACACCATCTTCGCCCAGATTTTGTCGAGTGATCTACCCGAGGACGAATTGAGCGATGAACGATTGATTGATGAGGGCGTCTTGATTGCCACGGCGGGCTCTGAGACAACCGCCTGGGCCATTACCATTACGACGTACCATATTATGAAGAACCCGGATGTGCTGGCAAAGATGCGCGCCGAGTTGTCCCAGGTCGAAATCCCCGCCGGTGATCCAGTGGCGCCCTGGACATCGTTGGAAAGGATGCCCTACCTGACTGCCGTCATCAAAGAGGGTGTACGGATGGCTGGTGGAATGCTGTCACGCCTGCCAAGAGTTTACGACAAGCCAATCCAATATAAAGAGTGGACCATCCCAGCAGGCACGCCCGTGGCCATGACACCACACCTGGTCCTCATCGACGAGAACATCTTCCCCAAACCCCGGAAATTTGATCCTGAGAGATGGCTCGACGAAGATGCCATCGCCGAGGGCAAGACCACAAGTCGTCTGGACAAGTACATCGTCGCCTTCGGCAAGGGATCCCGGAACTGCATCGGCATGCACTTGGCGTATGCGCAGCTGTACATGTCCGTGGCGGCCATGGTGATGCGATATAATCTGGAAATGTACCAGACGGATGACAGCGATGCGACGCCCACAAGGGATCTATTCACGGCCGGGGTCAAGCTGGACAGTCAAGGGATCAGGGTTATTGTGCACGACAAGGATGAGAAAATATAGATATCAGAGAAAGAGCCTGTTTAGAGTGCTGCGGTTCGCGCATGAAAGGTTTCGGGCATTGACTGGTTTAGAGCAGGCTTCCGCCTCTTCTTTTGAGATCGTCAACCGTAGAAATTGCTTAGACATAGATGATGTAAAAAGAGACGGAGATGGCTCGTCAAGAGGAAGGCTTTCTGGTATTCGATCCAATTTCATCCAAGGTCTTCTTTAGCGTCATCTCATCTCACACATGTCGTTTTCACTCACCCAGCTGTTTCGCCCTCCAGTCCCAGTACTTCTTCCGGATGGGGTCCCACTTGTTCCCCAGCGCCTCTAGACACGCCCTGCTCCTCTCGATCTTGCCATCCAGGCGATAGATGTCAGCCAACCAATCAATGGCGTGGCTACTCTTGACGCTGCCGCTGTCGCTCATCAGATCGGCGGCCTTGCCGCCGACAAAGCTCTCGCAGAAGACCTGAAGATCGGTCACGGGGATGGCGGCGCGCTTGAGCACGCCCTTGAGGTAGTTCCATGGCGACGGGTTCTGCGGGGCCCACGCGATGTGGTCCTTGGCGTAGTTGATCTCCCTTTCGACCAGTTCCTCGTCGACGACTAGCTTGCCGCTCGCGAGCACGTCTTTGCGGATCTTGCTGTCTGAGTCCTCAATCGCCGCCAGTTCCTCGGCGCCGAAGCAGACAAAGTACCGGTGGTTCCAGGCCGAGTTGTTGCGCACGTCCTCGTTGATGAGCGCGTCGACGGCCTGCAGCTCCATGTCCGTGGTCAACAGCGGGTCCGGGAAGCGACGGCAGAGCCATTGGCGGTACGTCCAGACGTGGTAGTTCTTGGCGTCGAAGGAGAGGATGTGCGTGATGAAGTCGGGTTCTTTGGGTGGGAGGCTCGGCAGGAGCGAGACCAACAGTTGGCGGTGGTGCCTGCAGACGAGAGAAGGCATAAGTCGGGACGGAAGATGTGACAATCTCTTTTGGGCGCTGTAGTTTGAGCATGGAATAAAAAACAGAGGAAGAAAAGCCAAGTGTGTGAGACAGACAACTCACCAAATCTGATAGTTCTTCAAGTTCCGCTCACTGACTCCTTCCAACCACTCCAGCTCCTGACCGACTCCGTCCTCGACACTCACATCCTCCTTCTCCCACAGCACCTTCAATATCTTGGCACGATACAGCCACACCGTGTAATGCGCCGGGTTCATGCCGATAATGTCCTCGGTCAGGTCCAGGGCTCGCCGGCTAAACTCGTTGGTGGCCATCAGGGCCCTCAGATAAGACATGGCTTCGCTGTACCGCACCGAGTAGGCGATGGTGGCGAGCGCCGGTCCGGGATCTTTCTGGCCTGGAGGACCGTCGATGAGGGGGATGGGGACGACATCTTTCCACAAGGGCGACACGGTGTAGAATGGTTCCTTGGACTTGGCTTTAGGTCTTCTAGGTGCCGTGGTCGAAGCAGCTTCAGCCATGTCTTGCACAGCAGATGTCAACCTTCAAAGGGAGGCTTCGATGAAAAAAGCATGTATCTTTAAATCCGACGAGCGGCCTCGTAGAACGCTGACACGACTGTCAATCTAGCCTTGTTGAGATCAAGTCGCCTAGTCAAAGATGAAATAATCTCACGACCATGTCACACACCTTTGCCGGACGGTTGAAAGGCCAGCACAAATAGACGAGTAGATAAATTCGCATGAAGATGTTCAATCCATTCAACCAAAAAAGTCGTTGGAATGAAGAGAACAATACGAAGTTGAAATCCACCTCGGAGGAATCTGAGTGTTGTCTCCGACTGCCCCACGTGACTTACAGATGTCATCTCTTCGCGTGCTAGAATTCGGTCATTGAAACAATAATAATACATAAACCGCGACGACTTTTGCTCCCTCATTAACTAGATAGCCCTCTCATTTGAACCTTGATGCGTTGCGCCTTCGCTAATAAGACACCAAGGAACAGATTCATCTTCGACTACCTCCAGAACTTCCATTCTGGCCGCCTTTCGGTCAAGCCGACACCCACCAAGGCTTCAATCCCCTCTTCACCTTCGGCGTTGAGAAACTTTTGTTGGTCAATTTCTTCACCTCCTTCTTCCTCTGTGCCATTGTGCAAGACCGCAGGGTAGAGCATGCCGACTCCACTGCCCCCTAGGGTAGTCGTGTACTCTTCAAATCCTGCAGCCTCGAACTTCGCCTTCAAATCAACAATCGCAGCTGGGTCAACGCCTCGCTTGAGTAACGTGATGGCACATCCACCACCACCAGCACCCGTGAGTTTGGTCCAACCAATATCGGCGTAGTCCACCAACTCTCGAATGTGTTCCAGCTTGGGATGAGACACTCCAAGCGATACCAGTAACCCATGATTGATGCGGAACAAATCACCGAGATGTTCGATATTTTGCTCTGACACGGGGTCAAATTCGTCCGAAGTAATCAGAGCGTGTGCTGACATTGTAACTTCGTCAATGCTGTCCAGTGTCGCCTCGGTTACAGCTGGATATTTCTTCTTCAACGCAGCAACTTTGGCGACCTCTACCGCGGTTGTACGGGGCTGTTTTGTATTGATTAACAACAAGGGAAGTTCAGGGAAATCTTTCAATGGCGTGGCACTCGGTGGCTTTGAATAGTCGAGTCTCTTGAACAGAACAGCCCTTCCATGTGTTGCTACAGTATTGTCCACTCCACTGGGATTGCCATGGATGCATAACTCGCCAACAAAGGCCCACTTGTTTATTCTCTCAAGTTGCATCTCGATTTCCTCTTCCGGTTGATCGTGATGCGGTCCGGATAAGACATGGATCTGTTTGAGAAGGGCAGCGCTGATGCAAACGCAAATGCTAGCGCTCGATCCGAGACCTGCGCTAACAGGTAATGTAGACCGTAGTGTATAAATACAAGCCTGCGCAGCAGGCGTCTGAAGGCACAAAAACAGATACAGGAAGGCAGACGCGGCATTTTGATGTATCCTTCTCTTGTCCCCGGCCAAATGGACGGACACCGTTTCGATATGCGGCTTCATGGCGGCGACGAGCTCAGGATCCAACGACGTCACCATGTCGTAGTATCGAGGTTTCCGCGTGGTCTTTGTGAAGACATGCCAAGGTAAATCATCGATATTCCAGGTGTGATCGAGTCCGATATCCGGAAACACGAGCTGAATTGTCCGATGCGATTTCGAGAGGGTCGTAACCAGGAGATAGGATCGAAGGGAGACGGCGGCAGCCATTGCGGCCTTTCCGTGAACAACGGCATGTTCACCAAAGACGATGACTTTGCCTGGGGCAGAAGTCATGAAAGCCGGAGCCATAGGGGACGACTGTTTGCGTGATGCGAGGGATTGTCGCGGCAAGCCATCCTTCGAGTGGCCATTGACCCCGTTGACCCCGTTGACTTTGGAAGTGCCATTCATAGCTACCTCGACGCGATGAACCATTGCCTTGATGCAAGATGTAAACAAGGCGACTGGAAGCGCAGCCCCTCCTCAAGAGAGCGGTGCTGAAATGGTTGGAGCAAGTGGGAAGGTGAGGTGGAAAGAGGGTGTTTAGGTAGGATTATTTTTGCCAGCGCAGCGCAGCCTGCAGGTTCAACATGTTGTCGACTGATGATTCTCCGTTCCAGCCACTTAAGCTTATCGCTTGGGGTCTTTAGTGGGTCACTAACTGCGACTTTATGCAGGAACCGGCCACTCTTGGCCACTCTCTCGCCCCCGCTTGCTGGTGGTCGGCCCCCGCTGACTCCCTATCCGAGTGGCGCCAGCGACCAACAAACCAGCACAGCGATGAATGTAATACAGAGTGCACGGCACTTGGCGACCAGTCTTGGTGTATTGTACGAGGTCCCGAGTAGCTACTAGAATACCCATCCTCTCCCAAGGGCGGCATCCACCCAAATCACTCTGGGTCAGAATCGCTGAGCTCCTCAAACCTCCCTTGATCGTTTGCTTCCTCCACCGGGTTCTTGACGTTCACCACCCCCGTCCCTCTGAGCCTCTCGAACAACACAAACATTCTTTCGGCTTCCCGTTCTTTTTCTTCTCGCGTCATCTCGGGGAGTTCAATTGGTTGCTCTTTGTCGAGTCTCTGTCCCGTGATGGGATTAACAGGGATCTCGCCGGAGGATTCGCCTGGAACTTGAGACCTCTTCGCACTTTCCGGGATAGGGATTTTATGGGTCATCAAATATCCTGCAGCGTAGCCATATCCCACGTTCCTGACGTATTGATTGGCATCCTTGTCGGAAAGTTCAAACATCAGCCCTGAGATTGCTTCAGACAAGTTCAGCGTCCCCGAAGACGTGGTGAGTCTCAGGAGCTGTGAGGCCAGCGAAGATGATTTCCCAAGGGGTTGGTCCCTTTCCTTATCATCAGGCAAGAGCCGTGTCCTCATAGTGTTACGGAGCTCGGGTCCTGCAGCCTCGTTGATGTTCCTTAGAACTGTCAATAGTGGAACTGCATTCGTGTCCAATTCCGTCGAGGAGTGCTCTTGGATGGCACGTTCGAGGATCGTCATCAACTTGTCTACCGTCGGTTGTACTTCGCTGGCCTTCGTTATTTCAGGGTCAATATCCAGGTTGGCCAAAGCGTTCACGAGCAGGCTTATCGGCGGCTGAAGCGCTGGCGACGGGACGTCTGAATGGATGAGAATACGGAATAGCTCGACGATAGCAGGCCGAAACCTTGCAAATTGATCCGTTCTGATACTTGTGCCGTTGAAAAGAAGTTTGAGGGTTTCCATTAGCGCCACGTTGCCCGGACTGGCGGGGCTCTTCGGCGTGGACTTCTTCGCTTCGTCTGCGTGACGAGAAAGGTGCTTCACGAGAGTGTCAGCCAGACTGTGATCTGCTATCAGGGTTTTCAAGTCAATGCCAGGGTCGTAGGTTAACAGGAACAGTATTCGGGATAGAAGAAATTCGTCGTCGTCGTCCGCATCCTGGAGTGCATCCGTTGCTTTCTTGTCGAGACCGAGTTTGAGCGAAGACCGACGGGCTGCTGGAAGCAAGAGGAGTGCATTCGCTATGCATCTCAGGGCTTCCCGGCGCACTGATGGCGGAAAATTTCCAAATGCGTAGCTCCCTAGTGTCGTGATGCCATCGTCGTTGTAGATCCCGGACACGTTATTGACATTGCGGCCCAAGACTTTCAGATTGGCCAAGGTCTCTTCGAGTTGCTTCTGTTCGAGGGTTTTGGCTTCCAGGTCCTTCGTCACCAGGGCAAGCAAAGCTCTCGCTTCATTTTGTTGGGTCTGGTTCGCCATTGTCGAGGCGCATAGGCGCTATGCACGTTTCAATGTCCGGGCTACACCGAATAGAAGGACTGTGTAGTTCGAGTTGATGATGCCAACAAGATTCGACTGATAAATAGCCGCGGCGTACTCGTACCTCATCTATGAACTTGGAATAATGCTTTGGTTGGGGGTGGTATGACTGAGCAATGGAAGCGTCGACAATCTTCGATCTTCAAGTGAGTGGGGCTGGTCTGCTTAGGTAAGCCAGACTCGCGAGGCTGAACAAGGCCCACCAATCAGAGCACCACAGTCTCCAATTAAACACGAGATCCGCGTTTCGACGCGTCCCGCGAATGCGGCGAGGCTGGTCATGTCCACAGGGCTTCGCTTTATCTTCCCAGCTGTCAATGCCTCTTCACCTCGGACGCCTCTCCTAGAGTTTCTGCGAATTTTTGGTTGATGGATGACTGGCGGCGGTTCTTAGCACCTTGACGATCATTCATTTGTTGACATCAATGACGGAGCCTGTCTCTGCAGTTTAATGCTGTTTTACTACCATCATGTCCATTCCCGATGTTCTTCCTCTGAGTCCGCCTTCCACGTCTTCACGCCGTAAAATATCGCTTCCTAACGCTTCGACAAATCCTACCAGCACTCCAGACTCGGCTGCATCTTTCCCAGGCTCATCAAACGCAGCAACTCGAAAACGTGTGGGGTTTTCAATCTCTACGCATGCGCAAGAGCCTTCCTCAAGTCAACCGCCCTCTAGCATCACGAGACCACTGCCCTCTGTTTCAGCCTCCCAATTAGCTCTGAAGTCGATTCTCAAACCTTGTCCCGTCGACGGGCACACTCTACAAACGGATGGTTTGCAGGAGGTCAAACGCTCAATGGGTGAAATGATGGAGAGCATTGTGCAACAGTTGTCGCGTGATGACAGATCACTCTCTGTCGACGCATATCAGACCCTTTCCGCAGTCATTCGAGAGTACGATGATATCCCGGAGGAGGATGTGCTGAAAGCCAAGATCAACACGATTATGAAATACATCAGACGGGACCTGCAGAAGCTACCTAATCCCGACGAGCCGCCCATCGCCGACACAAATCTAGTGACTCAAGCCTTGAAGGTGCTTGTCATTTTTGCGTGGAATCGCGACTATTCCTCTCTATTGACGGACGAGTATCGCATTTTCATCCTAGATCGGTCCATCCAGGTCATTGCTGAACATGCTGCACCAAAGGGGGTGATAATTCACTACCTCCACCTGCTAGCAACACAAAATTTTCGCCCAGTCCTCGTTAACAACTACCGTGTTACGCGACTGCTTGAAGCGCTGAAGGCTCTGACTGAGCATGTGAAAGGAAATGGCGTGGTCTCGGAAAGGCTCTTGGTCTATCAGAAGCTCCTTGACCAAGCAAGGCCCACAATGAAAGCTAGGGCAAACCTATGGGTTGAGGAGCTATTGGCAGGAATGACCAACTCGTTAAAAGATGTGAGGACAAAGGCGATCACTGCGGGTCTGAAGGCATGCTCAGTGTTTCCCACATCCTCGTCCATCTCAGTCACTTTCAGGACTATACTCGAGAAAGAGCTGACGCCGGGAAAGACCTTCAGCTTAGCCATGTGCCGTAGACTGGAGAAGATGATCGCAGTCAAAGAAGAGGGGATTCAGGTTCCACAAATATGGACAATCATACTCATGCTCAGCAATGGTGTCGAGGACCGAGACCCCAGCGGCCCTTGGCCCCGTTTTGACAAATGGCCACAGTTTATGGACTGGTTGAAAGTTATCCAGACATGCTTCAACTGTAGCGAGTTGGCCATCAAACAACAAGCCTACATGGCCTGGGATCGCTTCATCCACATCATCCAGCCTCACCAGACATCCGATACTTTGATGGCATTACTTGCAAAGCCCCTCACTGCCCAAATGGAACGTCAGTCCATAGAACAGACAACCAAAGGCACCCGTCTGACGGCGGTTTCTAGTTATTGCACCTTACTCTATTATGCTTTCCGACCAGCAGCTACACACAAGCAATACACCCGAGTCTGGAACGAATACATTGTCAAGGTCATGAAGAGCTCATTTTTTGAGAAGAGTACAGCCAATGCTGACCTAGCGTGTCGCATTTTTATGGCATTGTTCTGGAACTCCAAAAAGAGTACCAAGGTGTGGAACGAGAAACGGGCCCTGGAAAATACGCGAGTTGAGCCTGAGGAACTCCCCACGATTGACTGTAAATGGATCAGGGCAAAGTCCGAAGCGATTCTCGACATGTTTCGAGTACTAGTTCGACACAGCTCTTGGGGTGCCTCGGGTCAATCTCAAAGAGCATTTATTGCTATCGCCTGGTCACATTTCCTCAGAGCCTTACGAGAGGCGAGCAGCAAAGAAATCATACTTTCACACGAAACTGTCGACGCCATAGTCAACGTGATCAAGTTGTTAGGAGATGAATTCCTCTTACAAAAACGTTCAGGACCAGAAGGTGCAGATCAGGCAGATGACGCTCGCCGACTCAGCTACGCCCAAGTGCGACGCTTGACGCTTGTTGCCATTACCGAACTTGGCAACGACCTCATCAAGCCTGGACTAGATTACACCATCCACCCATCCCACATCAACAAGATGCTTGTCATCTATGACACTCTGGACTCTATCATTCCAGAATTAAGACACGATGAACAGAATAGTTACACCTATGCACCCTCTGAGGCGTTGAAGGTCGAATCTCAGTCATTACTCTGCCACTGCCAAGATCTTCTCCACTTTCTGAACGGCCTGCTACTCCGAGATTTTAGAACAGTGCAAGCTCGAGAGCCAGGTGCTGAAAACTCGATGGTAATGTTCGGTATGAGGCAGTTGGTGGAGTACGACTTTGGTTGTTTTCCTCCGGGATATAATGTCCTTTTGATGAGAATGCTCCAGCCAACTCTTTGCGCGCTGTTTTCAGAGTATGGGGAGCGCTCCTTTCCCGACTTGGAGTTAGCCACAACCACCATGACCGCCCTTTCCAAGGTACCCCCTGGGGCTATTGAAGAACTGGATGGCGTTTTTGCCGCTCCATTCGAAAGTGCCTGCGCATTGGTGCGGGAGGGTGCTGTAACGATCTGGAATAAACAGTTCAGCCATCTATGCTCAGTCACTATAGGCGGTCGGCTCTCAAAGGCTTTGCTTAA